TGTGTGTGTATAGTATTTAGTTTGCTGCCGAACGCATGCAAGAAGAAGATGACGAAGGTGTATATGTTGCATTCATCAGCGGGGTCTCAGGGTCTCCTTTCTGTTATTTCATCTTATTATTCTGTAGATATTACTAAAAAAGTTTTTTGGATAGAAAAAATGGCAGATATACTCAAAACACTGCAAATGCCCGTCGCACAAGCACTCAAGTATATACACACACCATACAGGGTTTAACAGGGTTTAGGGTTTAGGGTTTAAGAGGGTTTAAGAGGGTTTAGGGTTTAAGAGGGTTTAAGAGGGTTTAGGGTTTAAGAGGGTTAAAGAGGGTTTAAGAGGGTTTAAGAGGGTTTAAGAGGGTTTAGGGTTTAGGGTTTAAGAGGGTTTAAGAAGGTTTAAGAGGGTTTAAGAGGGTTTAGGGTTTAGGGTTTAAGAGGGATTAGGGTTTAGGGTTTAAGGGGGATTAGGGTTTAGGGTTTTAGCGGGTTTAGGGTTTAGGGTTTAAGAGGGTTTAGGATTTAGGGTTTAAGAGGGATTAGGGTTTAGGGTTTAAGAGGGTTTAGGAGGGTTTACGATAGGGTTTAGGCTCTAGCAAAGGGTTTAGGGGGATTGGGAGGGTTCACACTCTAAGAAAGGGTTTAGGGTTTCAGAAAGGGTTTAGGGTTTAAGAGAGGGTTTAGGGTTTAGGGTTTAGGGTTTATATGTTCAGAGCGTAAAGCTAAACTCTATAAACAAACAAACAAACAAACAAATAGATAAATAAATAAATAAATAAACAAACAAACAAACAAACAAACAACCAACCAACCAACCAACCAACCAACAAACCAAAAAATAAATAAATAGATAAATAAATAAATAAAAAGAGTGTGTGTGTTGTATTGTAGGTTATTCCCTTACTGTGTACAAGCAGAAGAAGAGCGTATAATTTCGGGTGTATGTACACTGGGTGTATTTGGTGTGAATTGGGGTGTATTGGCAGCTCGCACAGGCCAATATAAATCCTCATCATTAAATAATATTCCATCTATATTAATATATTTTTATTATTATCTTTTATCTCCACCAAACATATACACAAAAGATATATTGTTGCTGCAGGCTAGCTGCAGAAGTATATATGCTTTTATAGGTGATATAGATGCAGGCAAACCACAAGCAGACTGGCTAGACACCCCAGCTGTCTCCTCAGCATTTCGTCTCCTTCTTGAGGGTTTAGAGACCCCTCTCTTTGGTCCTCCTGCTTTTAATGCCATGGCAGAGGCTGCAGGTGATACATAGAGGGGAAAGGGTTTAGGGTTTAGGGTTTAGGGTTTAGGGGTTAGGGGGGGGGAGGGGAAG